TTAATGATAGTTTATATATTTACGCCAATTTATGATTGTAATAAATCAGACTAATTCGATTATAGAAAAAGTTTCAGGCCCAGTATGAAGAATAATTGGATAATTACGGACAATAATCATTGTTTTTGTCTCTGTATACCAAAGGAAAACCAGGGTAGTTTCAGACTTCCACGAGTCGCCCTGATGGCCCCATGTTGTCTAGGGCCACAAAAATTTGCAGAAGGTTTGAGGAACACCTAAATGAGATCCCAATAAAAAAATAACTAAAAAAGATTAACCCGTTCGAAAGCTATAACGAATTTACTATGATTGTTTTAGATAGATTATCATTTAAGCATGGATTTAAATATATATTATTTTAATGTATATATCATTTTGAGTTCCTACATCTAGACTAGATCCGCATAGACTAATTAAAACAAAAACCTCACGATAGTCCAATTTTTTAATGAGTTACAGAGCTATCTTTGGATGGGTACAAATGTACCACGGTTATTGATCTACGTAGGTAATAACATTAAAAAATTGTAAAAATTATAAAAATGGAAAATATTTATAATTTTTTTCTTCGATAATGTTTGAAAATACCTCAAGAATGATTCCTCAAAATTTGATCCAAATATCTCCATTATTAAACATTTTACAGCATTTTTATTCAAAAAAAGGTACAAATGTACCCGGTTATTGACCGTAGGGTTAAAAATATATTTTTGGTCATTTTGGTTGACTAAAGGAACTTCTCAAAACACCGAAAATTAAGAGATGTACCAATATTGACCATATTTAAGGGGATCCACCATTCTTGGTTTCAAAAGAAAAATTATGTAGCTTTACGAATCTACACTGATTCAATAATGTCCCTTCAAAATTTCAAGTGAAAATCTCAAGAACTCTTGAAGATATATTCGATTTTTTGTGTCAGCATTAAGTGACGGCAAGAGTGATTCCCAAACTTTAAACGAATTTTTCTCGAAGCAGTGTTTTACGAATGGCGGCACGATAACTCAAGAACTAATAACCCAGTCGGTTCCAAATTTTGACACGTTTCTCTGGGAGTGTATAGCTATCGTATGCACTAGGCCATTTTTTAATTTTTGAGCGAAGTCAATAATCCTAGTTCATACGAGAGCCCGACATGTACTTTTTCTAACACACTTGGAATTTCCGGATTCCGATGTTCCAGTGAGGAGTCTTTAATCACCAAAAACAACAACAACAACAACTAAAATATTTTTCTTCTCTTTTCTTCATTGGGTCCTAAGTGCTGTACGACGGATGGCCCATACATTTTACGTTTCAAAAACGGGGCTAAGTCGATGTGTGAGATACCGTACAATAATAATAATGCACAATGTTTCCCCTTCACTTTTTCATTTTTCAAATCGGTAGGTTCAGACTTTACCGACGTATGTTATTCAAGCGGAACAGTCGCCACATGACCAGTTTTGCCGAAGAAACAGTCTACCCTTTTTGCTCCGACGTGCTTTGTTCCAAAACTGAAATTTCCCCTTTGCTACGATAAAAATGTTCTCCTCGAAATATCGGTGTTAGAACCAAGGTTTTTTTTGGAAAAAATCGTTTCAGACTATTTTAAAACGGTTTATAAATATCGATTCGTACATCCATCTGTCTGACACGATAACCCTCGAAGTGATCAATTTCATCCAAACATTACACATGGTAATATTTATTTTAAAAATGGTACCTCTTCCAACAAACTGTCAAAATAATGAACATTTGTAAATCCAGTGTTAAGCGAATCCTTGTGGTATCTTACCCACACAGCGTCAACATTTCGAAAATTTTTATGATCTTTTTCATCGATCTTGCGTTACCACCTCAGACGTTGGACAGGGTTAATTGATTATTTTCCAAGAGTAAAATATCAGCGCGAAAATGTTAGCGAGTTAATTCCATTCTCCTTGGAAATTTACGCTAAAATATGTTAAACTTTTCAATCCAGTCCAAATATAGGCCTCGTAGATCATAAGCATTATTACTAACATTACATTTTTAAAGCTTCTGTAAACAACACAACACAGGGTCGTACGTCAAACCGTACTGAGGTTGTTTATACTAAAATATGTCAATCTTTCCAATCCAAATATGGTATATCATAAGCAATATTAATAACATTGGCATTTCTAGATTGCGAAAGGATGAGGAACCCTGCAGGACTTATCCCTTTCGTCTCTAGTAACAACATTTTCCCTGCATACAAATATATGCATATTCCCTATGTTTAAAGTTACATTTAAATCGCATAACAAAGAAATTTTAAAGTCATAAATTCCACTTTGTTTTCCATTTTCTTCCTTACATATTTATCCTGTTATTTGGTATAGGGATCACATTATCCTACAATTTTCCAATAGTAGCAATATTCTTTTTTATTTATCATTGGTCGGTTTTCCATACCATCATGTATTCAACCTACCTACTGAGCAAAGTCGTTACGAACGAGTAGGATGTCGATTTTGGACCGCACCAAATACATGTGGATCAATTCATTGTTTACTGTAAATGTTACTTGGTGGCTGTCGTTGTCGTTGCCACCGTCATCCTCCGTTCAAACACTTTCCTTGCGCTGCAGGAATATGCGGGTTATGCAGTTACATGCAGATGCAAAATACAGGAAACCCAAGCGAGAGTCTGGGCATACTTACATAGTGGTAGGATGTTGCCAACAAAACCAAACCAACATCGCACCACAGACAATATAAATTCCACATGAATGCATCCTCCTAGAGGAGAAGTCTACTCTATGAATAATCCCTGTATTTTTTCGTTCTCATGGTGGGCTAGACTTTTATAGTAGTCCTGTGTTTATTTGGTCGGTCTGTCGTAAAAATATGTGTGTGTTTTTTGTTTGTTTGTGCTTTGTTGTATTGGATTGATAGATACAACTTTAAGATTTACTGTGTGGAATTTTAAAAGGCAGGGAGTTCTGGTTTCTGACCCTCTAGTGTACATATGTCATATACGTAGGTTCAGAGAAAGTTTTTTTTTATAGAAAATGAGAATTTTTTCTATAGAAAGTGCCGAATCTAGCTTCATATAACTTTTTTTCTAAAGAATCGTCGCCATGGTTTTTCTATGGGAGAATATAGAATTTCTAAGGAAGTAAACAAATGAATTATTGTGATTTTCTTTAAAACGCAAAAATATATTTTTTGATTTTGAAAATAAATATAATTGAATAAAATGACCTCGGTATTAAGAAAGTAAAATCCAAAATGAAATCTGAGGATTTTTAATTTAAAAAAATTACTGAGTTTGGTTGTTTTTTAATAATTGAACACCAGTTCTACGGAATCTCAGTTCGGATTTTTTTCTATACGAAAAAAATTATACTCAAATCTGAGGATTTTTTTAAACCAAAAAAAAAAAATAATTTCAGCTTCGTTCTATAGAAACAATAAAATATATATAAATAATATGAGGTAACATTTTGTGGTGTTTTTCCATAGAAAAATCTAATCTTAGCTTTGAAGATTTGTTCTATACGAAAAAAATTTAACCATAAATTATTTCCAAAAGAAAAAATCAAAAACCTGTTTTTAGGATTTTCGATATAAATACAAACGAAAAAATCGATCGACATAATTTTTTATACCACAATTTTAATCTCAGTTCTTAAAATTTTTTATACAACAAATTTAAGTTTTTTAGAAAAAAAATCGAATATCAGTTCTGAGAAAATTTTTTCTTTATCAAAAAATTAATTTAAGTTCTGATAATTTTACTTTAAGAAGTAATCGAGGAACAGTTCTGAGAACTTAGTTCTAAGTTCTGAGGGGTTTTTTCTATAAAAAAATGAAGTTAAGTTCAGAGAAAAAATCGAATTCCGAGGCCTTTTTTCTATAGAAAAAAAGATTTTTTATAAAAAAGTCGAATCGCAATTCTGAGATATTTTTTCTATAAAAAAATATCGAACCTCAGTTCTGAGGATTTTTTTATTCAAAAATAATTTAATTTCAGTTTTCTATATTAAAATATTTACCTCCGCGGTGTTTCACATACGAAATTTGAAAAGCCGTTCCTAAGTCTAATTTTCTTATTACATACGATAAAAACCGAACATCAATTCTGAGAATTATTTTCTATAAAAAAAAAAATTTAAACACAGTTCTAAAATCGAACCTCAGTTCTGAGAGTTTTTCTATAGAAAAAAAACGAACCTGATCTCTGAATAATTTTTTCTATTAAAAACGAACCTTCTGAGGAATTTTTCTATAGAAAAAAATAGAACCTTTGTTCTGAGCCATTTTTTTCAATAGAAGAAAATCGAACCTCAGTTCTGAGGGGCTTTTATAGAAAAAATCCGATGATATTTTCTATGACATTTCGATCAATTGTTCTGATTTTTTTCTACAAAAATGTCGGGCCTCCGTTCTAAGGATTTCTTTTTTTACAAAAAATGGTTTTCTATAAAACACTAAGTTCGGAGTTTTTATATAGAAAACTTTTTTTATGATGTTTTTTTAAAGATGTTTTTTAGAAAAATGTCATCATCTGTCAGTTTTTGACGATTTAAAGTAAAAATGATACTTGTATGTTCCATCCCTCATATTTTACAACAACAAATTATTTTCCTACTCTTGGCATTCCATACCACATTGTCAGACTATTTTAATCCCCCCATAAGTATACTTTTGTATTATACAAAGCGCTAAAGTATGCAATGATACTCTTAAAAGAAAATACACAACAATGCAGACCATTAATCATTTTTCATGTTTTCTTATTGTTATTGTTAATTTAAAATTTCCGTGTTTGTGGAAAACATCAGAGAAAAAATCTACATATTTCCAGCAGTTAATCATGTCTAGTTAACATTGTTGCACATGGTTGTGATTTTATCAAAACAATGTGGCCGATAATTGTAAATGTCATGCAATGATATGTTCATATTTTAGTTTTCACATCATTTGTCATTTTTTATTTGTTTTCATCCACCTTTTTTTAGAATTGATTATCAAATTGAATTCTAATTTTTCTTTTTTATTATTTTCTCTCTCCTCTATTTGCAGTTTGGTCATTGTGCCGATTTAGAAATAAGCATACCCAATAATCAGGGTATAGACGGTGCCTTTTACCGTCTAGACTATAGTCCGCCATATGGTTATCCGGAACCAAATACAACAATTGCCTCCAATGAAATTGGTGATGAAATACAATTTTCGCGTGCTTTACCCGGTACGAAATACACATTCTGGCTGTACTATACCAATGGTACACATCGTGATTGGCCAACATGGACAGTGTCCATAACTACAGGTAAGTTTGTGTTTAGTTATTGCTATAATTATAGTTTTGTGACAATTTATTATTATTTTGTTGCTAATGACTTTAAATGTTTGCTGTCATTCGGATTCGTGCAATTTTCCCTCGATTCTATCGTGAAATTTACAGGATATCAATTCAATTAAAGTTTATAGTTTTGTTTCCATAATTTCTGTGTTGAAAATGTCATCAACGAATTTTAATTGTATGTTACTGTTTTAGATTGTGTAAATTGAAATTGATTTTAATCGTTACAGTAAATACAGTTTTTTAAAGTGTACATGAATTTTTTTCATTATGAATTTTGAGCCACCATTACTTTCTCTACAGACAACCCTTTAAAAATTAAATAAAATTGTAATTAATTCTGTTATAATTCAAGTTTCCTTATTTAATTTCCCTTCATTACCTTTTTTCATAATTACCTATTATGGCCCTAGTTATGAAATGTGCAAGTTTTATTTTTTAGAACCCAAAACTTTTGCAATGCTACCCAAAACAAACCCAGCATTGTACATTCTTTCACATTGTTGACCTTTAATGTCTTAATAAGTCCAAGTAGTAGGTAGCAGCACACAGCTAGTTAACAAAATACTTTTAATGAAGCTTGTGAAATTCTCGTGAAAGAAGAAACTTTCTTCATTTCATGCAATGTGTACTACAGACCAACTTGCATTTTGATGGAAATGTGTTCTCTGTTGTTTTTTTCGCTTGCCAACTTTCTCATGGCTAACAACGTTGTCTTGTCGTTGTTTGCTGGCCTTGTCACATTTTACAATAGTAGCGCTAGCTACATACAAATTTCTCCATTCTCGGTATATAATTAAATTTCCCCCTACCCAAAATAAGAGGGGCTCACAAAATATTCAACCAATGGGGGATTTTAGTCATAGTAAAAGCCTGGAAGTATCAGTTAAGGGAACCCCACCCATTCTCGATTTTAATTTTTCAAGATTTTCAATGGCCTGGCAAATCAATACCAATGCTTGTTAAGGTTTGTAACTTTACACATATATAATTGAATATTTAAAATAGAAGAAAAATAATTTACAAAAAAATTTTGTTATTGGTTTGTTGTTGTTTTTTGTAATTAAAGAAAAGTCCTTATTTTTGATGGCGGGCATGATAACTCCTCACTGGAACATCGGAATCCGAAAATTCCAACGGTGTTAGAAAGAGTATATGTCTGGCTCCCGTATGAACTAGGATTATTGACTTCGCTCTAAAATTAACAAAATGGTGGACCTTTGAAAAAATATTTTTGGAAAATCGCCGTTTTTTTACCAAAGCCCAAGTCAAAAAATAAGGAAGATCTTCACCGATTGGCTTTATCCTAGTTCATACGAGAGCTATACACTCCCAGAGAAACGTTGCAAAATTTCGAACCGATTGGATTATTAGTTTTTGAGTTATCGTGCCCGCCATTCGCAAAAAAATGTTTAGAGAAAAACGCGTTTAAAGTTTGAGAAGCCCTTCAGCCGTCACTTGATGCTGACACAATAAATCGGCTATATCTTCAAGAGTACTTGAGATTTTCATTTGAAATTTTGTAGGGACATTCTTTAATTAGTGTAGATTCGAATTAAACCATTGTATCATCATTCACCTTTTTGTTTTTACCTCTGCATTACGTCATATCGGCTAATGCAAAAAAGCGCAATATCATTACGAACATCATTCAAGCATTTACATTTCATTATCCAGTGAGATTTGTTGAGAAGTCGGGGTTTTTGTTTTCGAAGTGAATGTGAAAGTAGCACATTGATTTATTTGCAATTCAAATTTTTTTGAATAGCCTACATATTTCAGTTAATCAATTTTACATTTGTAATATCATGAAATATTCATCAGAGATCACATAAACTTACTACTATGTGGCGTTTTAGGACAAAGGACAGAGGACCTCCTCTCAAAATTGTCATGTATACGAAGGCAGTTCGGAAAGTTCTTAGCCTCGCACAAAAAGCGCGGTATAAACAGAAAAAAATTAAGTGTTTTAGAAACTTCCATGTCTGTTCTGAAGATATGTTAATTTTTGTTTCGATCTGGCAACTCCTTCATATAGGAACAGTTCTTCAAAAAATGCGCATCCGCAACTTTTTTACAACGGAAAAATTAGAAATGCGTGCTTTCATTGTAAAAAATGCGGATCCTTTTTTTTTTTTTTTTTTTTTTGAACACCTGTTTCTACATGAAGAAGTTGTCCGATCAAAACAAAAAAAGCTGTTTTGCAAATTACTCACACATTATATGGGACAGAGGAACTTCTACAGCTTGTCAATTAAAATGAGTAAAAGATATTCATACGATTTTTTACACAATATGAGGTCTATTTTAGCAAACAATCGTGAATCATTAACTCGAAAATCACGTTTTTGAGTTATGCCTTTCTTGCAGCAAATGAGCGATATTTATTCTTAGCCGAAATAATTTGCCAGGTCGTAAAGTCCCAAATATGGAATTGCGCTTATATCATGGAAACATCAACATGGTATTTGTAAGTATTCAAGTCGTATATTTCGTTTCAAAATAGTTAGGATGGACTTTTTTTAAAATGTTTTATGGTCCCATGTAAGATGAAAAATCTCTTTACAGCAAATACTTTTAGAAATTAATATCATAGTGGAAACTATAAAAAGTAAAGGCGGTTAATCGGAATTTTTCCTAAATTATCAACCCGTGTCTAAAATCGGAGGTACGTTATATGGGTGATATTTTTAAATGTGGACACCTCTTCGAACTTGTCCTACCCTTCAGAAGTTAGTCTCATTACAACAGACGAAACCATAATAATATAAAAACAAAATTTGGCGACATTTTCATTCTCTTAACCATTTAGAGGTTTTTCTTATCTTTTTAGAGGTTTTTTTCTTATCTTGCTAAACGATATCAGAAAACGCGTACCCCTTAAATATTTACGTATAACTACAATGTAATTGGTTCAAGTTAATGGTTAGCCACGCATCTTGGATACACTATAAACTTCTTCTTTCTATGTGCTTCAGGAGTAAATATATACGCCATTGAATGTAAAATTTCCACACAAAAGTTTTGGTACATTTGACCCATTAAATACCGATCTTTATCCAAACAATCTTAGTGCCACACAAAGCTGTAATACCCTGACAACATTGTTGTGTAGGGTATAACTAGGGTTTTATTACACTGCAAAAGGTTGACCAATATTTTTAATGAGAAGATTTGGTATCAACGAGAATTTAAAATACCAAACGTGGTTAAACTAAAGTATTCTTATTTGGGTGTTAACCGAAAACGGTAGAAAATGTGTCGAAAAATATTAAAAATCGAATGGTACCGTAGTATGTGGCCATCTCCAAAAGTAGACCCTATATTTATAATTTTTGAAAAAGATATTTAGTACTAAACGTGAATCCATAATACCAAACTGCAGCCAAAATGGTGTTCAAATTCCTCAAAACAAAGAAAATCGATGAATATTTTGAGATATGCAAACGGAATGACTAATAAAAAATAGTGACTTCGAATTTCAAATTCTATGTTATAGATTAGAAAAAAACGGATTGCATCGGCCGGGAATCGAACCCTGGCCGCCCGCGTGGCAGGCGAGCATTCTACCACTGAACCACCGATGCTTATAAATAGTTTCGAAAATCATACAAAGAATTTCTGCGATAATAATTCGCATATGCAATTTTGTTTAAATTTATGATTAATATTTTTAAATTGAATCGGTTTTTTCTTAATATTTACAATGTAATCTAAAACGTTTTACTAACGAAAAAACACTTTCCTAATTAGTTTTAGTGTATACAAACATTGTCTCCTATTGCTATATAAACACAATGCAATAAGATTTACATAAGACATAAAGAAAGAAAAGAAAATTTGAAAAGAATGTGGCAAATGAAAATATTTACCAAAACTCAAACAATAGCCTAGCCAATGACTATTAAATGGAAACTAAAGAGAGAGAGAATGGTGGGGAGGGGAAGGTCCGAAATTAATATCAAATGACATGACCTACAATTGATGATGGTTGCCTCAGTCGTTGGTTCATTCGTGTCATTCGTTTCGTCTACCATAAGTGAGTAGGCGGTGTATAATAATGGTGCCGGTTCCGCCGCACAACAAACATTACTTTTTGTCTTTTATATAAACCCACATAATGACACTCCAGGCTAAACCTTAGGGGACTCGAAGTAAATAGAATTAATTTATGTCAATGTTCGCACAGCACATGCAGTTGTGTGCGGGGCCAATTGGGTTTTATTGGTCCTTGTATCTATGTAACACCGACCTCACCTTAAAAACTGACCTAATAAGAATATTCCTTAGGCCTTTGTGGCACTTATTACTAAACCATCACAAACACTCACACGCACATAAAGTGACTACGAACGATGCTTAAGTCATATAAATTAATGTGTTTACGTGTCCATGGATATTTATCTTGGGGAATTAGGTTAATACGCTATCCCATAGTAAATGGGATATATCTATGTATTACTATGTGTACCTTTAGTGTATATAACTACATCTTGTGGGGTGTGAGTGTCATGTCCTTATAGTGTATTCTACAAGTCATTCACTTAGCAAATTGATTTCAATTAGTTACGGTGTGGTTAAAACGTGGCATAAATTTCTATTTATGAACCCCTGTATTCTCAATGCCGATCTATTGGTTTTCATAAAGACCTGTATTTATACAACTCAATTGGTCATTATAAATACCTGTGGACTTTATAAAGGACAATGGTATCTTATAATGTTCTGCGGTCTATATACATATCAATTGATGTGTGGTCTATATGCAGATCATTAGGACCATACAAAGACCACTGGTCTAGACCAATTTTCAGGATTTTAAATGGATTTTATGTATAAGATACCAATTGGGTTGTAATAACAAGTGAAAAAGCGTTGAGTTCGGCAAGGCCGAACTTTGGATACCCTCCACCATAGACATACTGACATAACAAGTGAAAAAGCGTTGAGTTCGGCAAGGCCGAACTTTGGATACCCTCCACCATAGACATACTGACAAGTACTTGAAACGAAAACATAGGGAAACTAACCAAAAAGTGCATCTATACCTACATTCTACAAACCGATTATGTTAACCATAAGCTACACCAAAGACAAATTTCAGCAATTTTTAATGGATATTTATACCCTCAGTCTTATGGCTAATGAGCGTGTATACACTTTTATACGGTGAAACTGTGCCTCATCGAAATATTGGTTCTATACCTCATGTTTCTTTGGGCCAAATCCGTTTCAGACAATTTGGATTTCAACCAAATTTTGCACATCTTATTATTTCTTCCAAAGTAAGATCCGCAGGTGAAATGATTACAACAGAGTCTTAGAACCATACGCAAAAAACGGAACAAATCAGATAACTATTTTAATATAAAACGGGGTTATATGGGGACTACCCCAAAAAGGGGGTGAATATTAATAATGTTTGGTAGGGAGATTTGTTACCATATACGATACGGAATTCGGTTGAAAAAACACGCTAAAGAACCCCAAAATACCGAGGGTACCATTATATGGGAGCTACCCGAAAAAATTGACCAATAGTCATAATTTTTTGTGGAGAGATTTGGTATCTATAAAAAAATCAAAATACTAAATTTCAGCCAATTCCGTGGAAAAATACGATCAAAACCCCCAAAATGGGGACTACCAGAAAAAGTGAACCCACATTTATAATTTTTTGTGGAGAAATTTAGTACCCAATAAGAACCCGATGTACCATATTTCAACGAATTCGGTTGAAACCCTCGCTCAAGAACCCCCAAAACAATGAAAATTGGGGGACACGTTTATATGGGAGCTATGCGTAAACGTGGACCAATATATCCCATGCTTCAGAAGATAGCGTGATTACAACAGACGGATAAGTGGATAAGTTACAAACGGAATGACCAAATTAATATACCCTCCATACTATAGTGGAGGGTATAAAAAATATTATTTAAAACAATTTCATCATTTGTTCTTCTTTTCTTTCAGCACCTGATCCACCCTCCAACCTATCCGTGCAGGTGCGTAGCAGTAAAAATGCCATAATACAATGGTCTCCACCGCTGCAAGGCAACTATACAGCATTTAAAATCAAGGTCTTAGGCCTATCGGAAGCTTCCGGTTCATATAATAGAGTATTTAATGTCAATGAGTCAACATTCCAACACAGTGCTAAAGAGCTGACACCGGGTGCCACATATCAGGTGCAGGCCTACACCATTTACGATGGCAAAGAATCGGTGGCCTATACAAGTCGTAATTTTACCACAAGTAAGTCACACAGATATAATGTTCATTTTAGTAATTCAATCATAATTTGAATTTAAATTTATTATTAATTTAAAATTTATTATTGAAATTTTTTGGTTTTTATTTATTGAATCAAAATTACAAAACAAATTTTAAAATTTTTTTGTCTATATTATCTATATATATAAAAATGAATTGCTGTTCGTTAGTCTCGCTAAAACTCGAGAACGGCTGAACGGATTTTTCTTATCTTAGTCTTAAAATATTCGTAGAGCTTCAGGGAAGGTTTAAAAGGTGAGAAAAATTTAAAAATCGCGAAAAATTTGCAAAAAAGAAAAAATATTATGAAAAAAAAATATTATGAAAAACAATACTATGAAAAAAATATTCATTTGTCAAATATTGAAAATTTTCAAAATATTTTATTTTATTCAATTGGCATTGTAACGAAACTTTTTTCCTGAGAATGCAAAACAATAATTGAGATGAATTCGCGATCATTGTATGTACACGTTTTCCATAAAATTCACGTACATTTTGGAACAAATGCAAGGATGAAAATCTGAAGATTCAGAAAGAGTTCTGATTCTAAGACACGTGCCCTAGATTATTCTTCTTGAAAATAATAATAGGAACATGTTGTTATTGAAGTACCTAAAATGTACCATTATATGGTGGTTATATGCCTAATCGTTGGTCAATGTCTTTAATCGCATATGTGTATCACAGAGAAAATTAAGTTCATATTGAAAGAGAACAACTATAAAAAGCATTTGTTATAACAAAGAGTCTCATGATGTTACCTCAATATGTCAACTACCAATATATTTAATACCATGAAAAATCGTTGTTAAGATCGAACTTTTGTACTTCCTAATATGTAGATTCCTTAAATCGGCCGGGACATTTATATGAGGACTATGTTACACAGTATGTGTAGTAGATTGGAAAACGGGGGTAAGAACTTCAACATACTGAAAATTAAACAGGAAATATGTATGGCGCCTTTTTATTGCATTAAGCCAAATCCATGATCCATCCATTCCGTCAAATTCTTTACAAAACCGAAAATGGTGCGGGACCCGTATGTAGGAGCTATACAAAACTTGGTCCTGAATAGAAATGTTTCCGCAAATGTGTTTTACCCTTTCAATATCACGGAATGATATATGATATGAATGATATACGATACTACAATGGGTATGGATATATACTAATACCACATGAGAAAATACCGAACAATAAGACCATATCATTATATGTATATCATTATATGGGGCTACCCGGACCAATTTGCACCAATATTGATAATTTTTTGTAAACAGGTTTTCTTCATCCAAAATAAAACATTACAGCACTTTGGCTGAAACACTCCCTAAAATACCGAACTCCTCAAAGTACCGACTATTGTGGGTACCTCAAAGATTTAACCAATATTGACAATTTCAGTACGATTCATTCTACCAAATATACAACCAAACGTGCCCAAATCCCCCACAGTATCGAAAAAGGTGGATTACTATTACATGGGGGATATTTGAAAGCTTGGGCGAACATAACATTGCAGCCAAATACCGAATATTAAGGGATGCCGTTAGATGGGGATATCCGAATACTTGAGTCAATATGGAAAATTCTAATTAGGGAGAATTTCTGCCCAATAAGTATCCCTAATATTAGGTTTGGGAAAAAGAAATCCATTAGACCGGTGGAACGATCGAATTTTACAGGCATGTCGTAACATCGTCCAGGAGCTAAAAATTAAACCATTCACACAAAGCTGGATTCAAAAATAAGCTCAATGGTTGGGTGCCTCACCAATACCAATACCGCAATTTCAGAGCACTATCTTAAAGATAATTTAATATTGGGCTATCGTTATGTGAATTATACATCAACAATATTGCTATGCAAGACAACGTTTGCCGGGCCGGCAATGTTGAATGTTGAAGTGTTCGTGAATCTTCAGGGAAGGTTTAAAAGTTGAGAAAAATTTGAAAATCGCGAAAAATTTGCAAAAAATATTTTGAAGCATATTTGCATTTCCGCGAATTTAGTATCGAGCTATATGGAAAGCACCACGTCGTAGTTGTTATTTTGAGGTATTTTGAGCGAAAATTGGTAGCGTATCATTCCTTTAAGCCTACATTTGTCATTTATTAAAATTTTTCAAAATATTTAATTTTTTTTAAATTGGATTGACATTGTATTGAAATTGAGAAGTATATTATTGAATGCACACGCGATCATTGTATGTACACGTTTTCCATAGAATACAGGTACATTTTGGGACCAATGCAAGGATGGAAAATCAGAAGACATTCTGAATCGAGTTCGTGGCCATTCAGGATATTCGGATTCTAAGATCCATGCCCTAGATTAATATGTTTGAAAATAATAATATGAACATGTTGTTCCTTAAAGTAAATGAAATGTTGATATGCAACGGGAAATATGAAATCAGGTGGTTAAATGCCTAATCGTTTTTCAATATCTTTGAACTTATAAACAGACCACGTCGCATATATCCCATACCAAAAATGTGTATCACAGAGAAAACTAATATACGAGATATTTTCTTTGCAAAAATCTATCATTAAGTTCAGCTGTAAAGAGAACAACCGACAAAAAACCAGCAAAATTAGAAAAATAGCATAATATCTAATTTGATGGTTGTACGAAAACCTCCATCCGATGTTACCTATTCGTATTGAACATGCCAACTACCGATAACACTCAGATTGGAAAACGGGAGTAAGAACCTTCAGATATAGTGCATAACTTCTGGGATGATGTTATGCCAAATTATAGCCAACTCTATGAGAAGATTAGGTCAATGTATTGAAAATGGGGCGAGACCTGTATGTATTGCTATATCAAAACTTGGACCTAAATAGGTAATTTTTCGCAGAAATGTGTCTCACCTCCAATATCCCGGAATGACATATTTTAGCTACTACAATGGGAATGGAAATATATACATTTTTGGTAGGAATATTTGACAGCATATGAGAAATTATTGGGGTTACCATTATATGGGTGCTCCCCGGAAACTTGGATAAATATTGATAATTCTTTGTAAGGAGATTTTGTACTCACTGATCATTTAAAATATAAAATTACAGCTAATTTGGTTGAAACACGTGTCCAAACCCCCAAAATACAGAGGAGTGAACCAATATTGACAATTTTAAGTAGGATTCATGCTAACAAATAAAACAACCAATTACAGCAGATTAGGTTGAAAAACGTGCCCAAAGCTCCAAAAATTTGGAGTGCCATTATATGGAGGCTTTTCCGAAGCTTGCACAATTTTTTAAGGAACATTTTCTACTCAATGATCATCCAATATATAAAATTAAATGAAGGGATTACCTGGATACTTGCCAATATTGATAATTTTAAGTACAGATATTCTGTTGTAAACCGTGCCCAAGATCTTCAAAATATGGAATGTTTATTGCTACCGTTATATGGGCAGTACTCTGAAATATGTGCCAATATTGATAATATTTGGTACGGATATTTTCTGTTCAATTACAACCCATTCTGTTGAAAAATCGTCAAAACTTCTCATATTGCGAGGTACGGTTATATGGCTACCCTAAATAGTGAACCTAGGAGTAGTAGCAATGTATGTGCAAATTTCAGAGCACTAACTCAAATCGTGGAGGGTAGAAAAAGCTAACTTATTATTGGCCTATCGTTATGTGAATTATACATCAACAATATTGCTATGCAATACAACGTTTGCCGGGCCCGCTAGTACTATATACAAATTGTTTGTTGTATATGAACACATATAATAATTAATAATATTGAAATGCTACATATATATTTTTGTTTAAATTGATTTTGCAATATATTTTTTGGAGTAATTGCGCCAAAAAATTCAATTGAATTAAATTTTATTCAATATGGATGCATTTTTAATTTTTTCAAAAAATTATACATGTTTCATGAATTTTACCTTTTTGCAATTATTTTGTTGTGCATTTTAAATTTATTTATAACTTATATATAGACATGCGTAGTTATAATACAGGTTTTTAATTTAAGGCATATCATTAATTTAATTAATGCATATATTTTTAATAACCTTTTTTTAATAACACCTCGAAATGTTGGTCTTAAATCCATACAGATGAATTAAAGTACAAATCTAAATCTAATCCAAATGTTTGCATGAAATTCCCTTTCAGCCCAAAGACTACACCAATAATCATACTACACTTTTTTCACATGTTATTCAAAACATATCAAAGGATTGCATTTGGAATTCATAAAACTCCATTTAAAATTAACAATATTCCATTTGAGATTCAAATAATTTCATTTGAAATGCATAAAATTTGATTTGAAATACATAACATTTTATTTGTTATTCTTAACATTTAATGGTAACACACAAAGAAAATATATGAATTTGAAATGAATTGTTACGAATTGCAACTGACATTTTATGAATTACAAGTGAAATGTTATGAGTTTCAAATTGAATTCTTTGAATTGTAAATTAATTTCAATGAAGTTCAAATTAAATTTTACGAATTTCAAATGAAAACATACAAAATACAAATAAATTCTTTAAATTTCAAATGGATTTTTTTCATATGATAAGTTCAAAATTACAAATGAAATGTTGTAAATTATCAATTACATTCTCGAATTACAACTGCAAATTTATGATTTACGAATTGAGGTTGCGAATTGCAAATGAAATTCTTGAATAGCAGTTGGAATGTTTTGAACAACATTTGAAAAAGTTGTAGTGTGTATCCAGCGATAGCATTCCTGAACCCCTTTCTTGTTGGATAGATAAAATACTAAATAGCAGAATTATAAATTCGAATGTAGGAGATACAAAAATCAGAAAAACAGTAACTCCTGTGGGCGGGTGCTCTCACCGTTGCTATGGCTATTGGTAATCAACAACATAATGATGGAACTGAAAAATTCCTTCAACAATCTCGGAGTTTATGCAAAGAGCCTTATCGACGCTGTCACTCTGGGCCAACGGTAACGGCTTTGGAGTGATCCAACAAAGATAGAACTGGTAATGTTAGGAAACGTAAACTCGTTGTCTTTGTTCCACCAACACTGGATGAAGTTTGTTCTGTCGCCCGAAGCAAAATACCTTAGCACAATCCTGGACTGTCAATTACGATGGAACAGGAACGGGCGAAGAGATGGCAGATTGCACTCTATGCATACAAGAATTCCATTGAGAAATATTGGGGACTAAAACCATCGACTATACACTGGTTGTATAACACCGTGGTAAAGCCCATCCTTTCCTATGGTTCTCTTTCCATCGTGTCTAAGTTTCTTTTTAACTATGGAACCGCATCATTAGCGACCTAAAGTGGCTGGGAAAGTGCAACCTTAGCACGTAATATGTTTTCTGTCCAATTTCTAAAGCCATCGAAACTATTTCCTACCTACCTCCTCATACTTCCTTGCTAGTTTCTTATCTTTTCAATCCCCCCTATATCCCTACGGATCTAACCTTTTTGGTTATGACCTTCACATTACTAACCAGTAAGGAAAGTGGTAAAGTCGGACTGGGCTGACAATATGATACCCTTTACCACTTTGTGTGTATTCGACATATGTATCCTTACAGACGTCGCCTTTTCGAAGAAACATTGACCTGAAATTTAAATATGTGATTTTAATCTATAAGTGAACCGACTAGCATCAATCCATACACTGCCATTCCGCAAACTATGATAAATTTGATTTCATTCGGGCAGATTTAGAGTCTGCTGCACTGTTCAAAACGTAATCTCTGTAAGCTATGTCTGCATATGCACCAATTTCAACTAAACACAATAACGTCATTCTAGTCGTAATTTGCAACATTTCATGTCAAATTGGACGAAAATATATATAGGAGCTGTATCTAAATCTGAACTGATTTTCGCGAAACTTAGCACACACCATTCTAGATTAAATTCAGTACGCTATGAAAAATTCCGTGGAAATAGAAAGAAATATAGGGGCTTTGGTACACTATTTACATTAAATCGGACCAAAACATATATGGGAGCTATATCTGAATCTAAAGCGATTTCATCGAAACTCTGCGCACATCATTTTGGACTTAATTATGTGCGCAATGCCAATTTTCGGTAAATATATTATATATACCTTATACTAAAATATGATGGAAAATATGACAGAGAACATTTTCTAGGGTATTCTTACTTGCTATAACCGAGTTTTAAATGAGTTTCTAATAATCCCTTGAAAAGGGAAGCGAAAAGTCCCCTTCAAATAGTCTACTGAGGGTTAACGTATTAGACAAAAATATTTCTCACATTTACATCAGTAATATTGCCAAAGACACAATATACCAAAAAAGCAAGTATATCGAGAAATGGGAAATATTGCCACACCTTTTTAGGTTACCTCCCGACCTAAACGTTCATAATGTCGAATATATATGTCTTCTATTTGTAGTTTTTTTTTATCATTTTTTCCCGATAATGTTTTTTGTTTTGCACAATGAATAGAATGATTATAAACTGGAAATCTGATCCAACTTTCTTTTTTTTCTGTAAATTGCACTACAATTTTAATTTGGCTATTTTTTTTTTTTTTTTTTTTTTTTTTTGGCTATAGTAACAATTGTAACATACAATGGCAATGGTAACATACAAATTCCATTATCCTGCTTTGTTTTTCATCATGTCAATTTAACTTTTATGTAGAAAGTATTAAATCCTTTCATGTGCCACTTATCCAAAATGTGAGTTCCAACTAACAATTTAGCTGAGCATTCATTGATCGTAACATATATTACATATATAGTCGATTATGGGCTATGGAGTGCATGCATGTACCCATACTTCAAATTGATTTTGGATTGAATCACACACAAACATGCATTCTGAAAATTTTGTCGAAATAGCATAGGAACATAATTTTCTTTAGCAATACATCTCTTATTTTTACCTACATATACATATACACACTTTTAATGAAACTACAAATTCAAGTGAAATCAATTCTCCTTTTTTCTTGTTTTTCTCCTTCGTATCTGTAAATTCTTCTTCAACTCATCACGCAACGGATTTCCAAAAAAAAACCCGCACACAAATCAACAATTTCATATTAATTTCGCTTGTTGTCCCCCCAAACACATTCGCCTGAGTAGAACCCAATACACCGGGTAAATTTATTGTATGGTTTCGTAATGAAACCACTTTATTGGTCCTTTGGCAGCCACCATATCCTGCCGGCATTTACACACATTACAAAGTCTCGATAGAACCACCAGATGCGCTGGAAAGTGTTTTGTATGTGGAAAAGGAGGGTGAACCACCAGGACCAGCACAGGCAGCATTTAAGGGTTTAGTTCCGGGCCGGGCATATAATATATCGGTACAAACCGTGTCAGAAGATGAGATATCTTTACCCACCACCGCACATTATCGTACATTACCGTTACGTCCATTAAATGTAACATTTGACAAGGACTATATAACATCGAATTCATTTCGAGTGATGTGGGAGGCACCGAAAGGTGTATCCGAGTTTGATAAGTACCAGGTATCTTTAGCCAACTCGAGACGACAATCAACAACAACAGTACCGCGTACCAATGATCCCATAGCCTATTTCGATTTCCGTGATATACCAGAGCCGGGAAAGACATTCAATGTTATTGTTAAAACCGTCTCGGCAACATCATGGGCCGCCAAGGTAACATCATGGCCCGCCACTGGAGATGTAACGCTGAGACCCTTGCCAGTACGGAGTTTGCGTTCATTCAGTGGTGATTCTAGCAACAGCATGATGATTAACTGGGAACCTGATCCAACTTCGACCCAAGATGAATATCGTATTGTCTATCATGAATTGGAGACGTTTAATGGTGACACCAGTACCCTATCCACTGATCGCACACGTTTCAATTTGGAAAGTCTTTTGCCGGGGCGTAACTATTCTGTGTCCGTACAGGCTCTTTCAAAGAAAATGGAATCTAATGAAACAACAATATTTGTGGCAACACGACCATCCTCACCCATCATTGAAGATTTGAAGAGCATTAGAATGGGCCTCAACATCAGCTGGAAAAGTGATGTCAATTCCAAGCAGGAACAATATGAAGTACTGTACACACGTAATGGCACCTCTGAGGTAAGGACTCTTTTCACCAAGGAATCACGATTGGTAATTAAAAATCTACACCCAGGAGCTGGTTATGAGGTCAAGGTGTTTGCTGTCAGTCATGGCTTGCGGAGTGAACCCCATTCATATTTCCAGGCGGTTTGTAAGTATATCAACATCTTTCACATTTTTAAATTGACAGTATTTCTAATTTTTTCCCTTTTGCTCCTAGATCCCAATCCGCCACGTAATTTAACCATTGAAACGGTACGCAGCAATTCCGTCTTGGCCGGGTGGGCTCCTCCGGAAAATAGTGACTTCACAGAATACAATATACGCTATCGCACTGAAAGTGAACAACAATGGGTACGTCTGCCCAGTGTACGCTCCACCGAGGTCGATATTACCGACATGATCAAGGGTGAAAAATATACCATTCAAGTGAATAGTGTAAGCTTTGGTGTAGAAAGTCCCAATCCCCAAGAGGTTAATACCACAGTACCACCCAATCCTGTCTCGAATATAATTCCCTTGGTGGATTCACGTAATATTACCTTGGAGTGGCCCAAACCAGAGGGTCGTGTTGAGTCGTACATTCTTAAATGGTGGTCCACAGACGATGAATCGAAAACCCAAATGAAAAATGTTTCCGAAAATAAATCAAGTAAGACCTTCTCTCATGAGTATAACTTTTTCCAAACCTAATATAATCTCCTCCATTACAGCCGATGACATTTCCACGGTCCGAATACTAATTGGCGACCTGATGCCGGGTGTGCAATATAAATTTGATATACAAACAACTTCGTATGGTATATTCTCCGGTACCACTCATCTTTCAACACGCACAATGCCTTTGATACAATCCGAAGTGGTGGTGGTCAATGATAAACAGGAAGATGAACGTGATGCAATTACCCTGTCCTATACACATACTCCCCAATCATCGTCGAAATTCGATATCTATCGCTTCTCATTAGGTGATCCAGAAATCAAAGATAAAGAAAAACTTGCCAATGATACTGACCGCAAGGTCACCTTTACCGGTCTGGTACCAGGTCGTCTATATAACATCACAGTTTGGACTGTTAGCGGTGGTGTTTCCAGTCTACCCATACAAAGACAAGATCGTCTATTCCCCGAACCCATAACCCAGCTGCATGCCACCAATATAACCGATACTGAAATCTCTCTGAAATGGGATATGCCCAAGGGCGAATTCAATGATTTCGATGTACAATACCTGACCGCCGACAATATACTTGCACAAAATATAACAACACGCAATGAAATCACCATAACCGATTTAAAACCGCATCGCAATTATACATTTACAGTGGTTGTACGTTCCGGTACCGAATCATCGGTATTGCGAAGTAGTTCTCCTCTGTCGGCCAGTTTTAGTACCAATGAAGCGGTACCTGGTCGTGTGGAAAGATTTCATCCGATAAATGTGGAACCCAGTGAAATACTGTTTGAATGGCTACTGCCACAAAGTGTAGCTAATGGGATTATTCGGCAATTCTCCATAACCTATGTGAATATAAATAATGCTACGGAAGGGAAAACAGTAGATTTTGATTCATCCGAATCGACGGGTTCGATAAAGAGTTTGAAACCCGGAGAAACATATGTTTTTAAAATACAAGCCAAAACTTCAATTGGTTATGGACCGGAAAGGGAATATAAACAGACAATGCCGATATTGGCACCACCCAAACCCGCAACACAAGTTGTACCCACGGAAGTTTATCGCAGTTCATCGACCATACAAATACGTTTTCGTAAAAATTATTTCTCCGATCAAAATGGTGTGGTGAGTATATTTTGTTTTTATACCCTTCACCACACTGTGGTACAGGGTATTATGTCTTTGTGCATATGTTTGTAACAGGCAAAAGGAAACGAGATAGACCCATAGTTCCATTTGAGAATATGCATAGATTCACTTTTTGAGTCGATTGATGCATGTTCGTCCGTCCGTCTGTTGGTGTTAAATTGTAAACAATGTACAGGTCGCATTTATAATCCGAATTGGATGAAATTTGGCACAGCTCATTTATTTGGCCCAAGGACGAACCCTATTGAAATTCGGAAAAATCGGTTCAGATTTAAATATAGCTCCCATATATATTTTCGTCCGATTTAAGGTAAATGGTGCACCAAAGTCCGTACATATCTTTTGATTTGCACGAAATTTCGCTCAGTGTATTGAATTAGGTAATGTGTGTGAAGTTTCGTGAGAATCGGTTCAGATTTAGATATGGCTCCCATACATATTTTCGTCCGATTTAATGTACGGTTTGCATGACATTTCGCACAGCTTATTGAATTAGGTCTAAAATGATGTGTGTGAAGTTTCGTGAAAATCGGTTCAGATTTAGATATAGCTCTCATATATAATTTCGTCCGATTTAATATAAAAAGTGCACCGAAGTCCCTATATATCTTTCGATTTACACGAAATTTGGTATAGCGTACTGAATTAGGTCTAGAATGACGTGTCTTAAGTTTCGTGAAAATCGGTTCAGATTTCGATATAGCTCCCATATACCTTTTCTTCCGATTTTACGAAAATTGTGCACTAAAGACCAAAGTGTGGTCGTTTGGTACACAATTTTGTACAATGTACTTAAGTTAGTAACCTTACGTGTGTCAAATTTTCTTGAAATCGATTCAAATTTACATATAGCTCCTATATTTGTT